CTTGGAGCAAAGTCAGCCTGACCCAGGCTGGGACCCGAAGGCCCTTGGAGGTTCTAAGGACTACAGAGTGCCGGGCTGGTCATGACTCAGAGAGGGCGACAGGGCCTGTGGCGTGAGCTCTCTGGCCCACCAGCAGGGTGGGCTAGGGATGAGAGCCCTGGCCCATACTGGTCCTCTGTTAACAGGGAAGTGTCGCCCTAGGAAGCTGCAGCAGGCCACTGTGCCCCTCTGGGGCATGGCCACCTGCAAAAAGTTCTGGCCCGGCTTCAGCACCCATGCCATGCTCTGTGCTGGGGTGAAAGGTGTGAGCAACTACATAGTAAGTACCGCTCCAACCCAGCACTCACTCTGTCCCCCCATCACGCTGGTGGCATCCTCCTGGCTCCACACCGAGCCACCCTGTTTCCTGGGAGTGTTTCCTGGATCTGGGCACCACCAAAGCCCACCATTGCATATAATGTGTCTGCTAGGGGAGGGCGAGCACCCAGAAGGCTTTGCTGGCAGGGAGACCCCCTCTTTATAGACCCCAGGAGCCACTCTCCACTCCCCTTCCAGCAAGCACCTTTGTGCAGAGCGGGACCTCCTCAGAAGTGGAGTTTCTCTGTCTGGGATTCAGGCCTACCCCGGATTTCTTGCCAACTCATTACAGTTCCATTGGGGGCGCCCAGGGCTCTGAAGCCCTGTCAGTGTGAAGACAGGTCCTTTTCTTCCCACAGGGCGACTCTGGTGGCTCCCTGGTCTGCCGCAAGAATGGAATTTGGACTCTGGTGGGCATCGTGAGCTTTTTTGAAAAACACGATCCCACCGGGAGCCCTTTTGTGGTCACTCGTGTCCCTACATTCATACCCTGGATCGAGGCGACCATAGCTAACATCTCACCCTGAACTCCCACGGCAGCACCCTTGATCCCCAATAAAGCCCCTGCACAGACCCTAACTGCTTGTGTCTGTGACTCGGGAGGCGGCTGCAGTGCCCCTGTCCCCCTCCAGGGGGCGGCGTACCCCTCCCTTTCTAGAAAACAAAATACTTCAAACCAAGCATGAATAAAGGCAGCACAATTATATAAATTCAGAATATAAAGAGTACACAAATGATATAAAACATCATAATGTCTTCCCCACACACACACCCACCCCCCCATATTCTGGCTGTAAAATTCACTGCACAGACAGCAGGACACACACAGGAGGTGTCTGATGGAACCAGGGACTGAGGTCACCTGTGGCCGGTGGCGCCCCCTGGAGGGCGGTGTCAGTGAGGGGGGCTGGCCCCATGGAGAATGTGAACACACTATTGCATTTGGGGTGGAGACTCTGATAGAAATATAAGGGCTTAGAAGCAGCACCCGGATGACTGCTTGGATGGAGCACTTGACCTTGAGCGTTCCTGATTCAGGGGTTCAGGCTCAGTGTCTTCAGCCCCTCAGTGATTCCGAGATGAGCGATTCCTGCCCCTACCATGCTCATCTTCCAGAAGACTGTTGCATGCCTCTGAGGGACATGGAGAGGCTTCCAGCCGTCAGCCCCTGACAGCAAAACTTTGCAAGTGGCTGAGCCCTGAAGCCCTTTGCCAGTCTTGCTGCTGCTGTGGCCTGGCAGGGAGGCAGAGGCCTGAGCAGGGGCCTCGCTGAGCTGAGTGAGGCCTCTGTGGGTGTCTGGCCCTGCAGCGGCTGCTGGGAGCGTCCCTTGTCTGGTGCTGCGGGGGCCTCTCGGCAGCTCCAGGGAGCGTCTCTGTTGTGCTTCTGTTGTCTCTGTGAGCCTGAGGGTGGCTGGTGGTCTCGCTGCTGCATGATCCTGGTCTTCGTGCAGGAAGACGCCATATGGGGCCATTGATGTTGAGGACACTGATCACTGCTTCAGGTAGGTAGACGGCCCTTGTGGCTCAGTAACTGTTAGTTTTTCCCTGGTTTGTTGAATGAGACTATGATTGTTAAATGAAACCACTCTCTGACCTGAGTGGTCTGGCTGTCATGTGCCTGGGTGAAGACTCTGGGAGAGACTGACTAAGTACCTGGCCAGTGTCCTTAGCAGGCTGGGTGCCCCGGCTGGCCTGTGCCCTGGGCACTGAGGTCCTGCTGTCCCTCTTTCAGCAGGGGCCTCCCAAACACACATTGCTACAGCTGACTTCCCTGTCCGTCTCCTTGTTCCTGAATCAGTACTGACCTGTGCGCTCAATGGGCCATTTATGTGGAGGACCAAAGTTACACATGAAAAGGAACTGCAGTTTATATAAGGATTAGTCAATAATTTTGTTAATTATAAAGAAAGCAGGGATTGGGTTTAGCCAGTGAGCCCCTGACTTGCCCTCCTGAGCTCCAGAGCTGCATCTCTGGGCTGGCTCAGAGGCACATTCCTGAGGGGCTGGGCCTGCTGTGAGTCTCTGGCCTCAGGCAGTTTCCCTGAGCAGGTAGAGGAGCAGCCTGGGGTCCTGGCTCTGGGGTCTGTGTTGAAATGGAGTCCTGGGTGCAGACTCTGGGGGGCCTGGGTGAGGGTCCCTTAGATGAGTCTTTGTGAGCACCTGCTGGTCCCCTGATGGCGCCAGGGCCTGTGGGACCCACAGCTGGGAGCTTCCCCCAGGGGTTTTCTAGGCTGCTGCATGACTGAGTGAGGCATCTGCCCTTTGCCCTGGTGCTGTGGTGACCGGGGCTAAACTTGCCCAGGACAGGTTTCTGCAACAGAGGGAGGCCTCAGGTCAGGGAAGACCCTGGGGCTGGGCAGGACCTCACTTTTCCAGTCAGTGTAAAGGGAGCCCCCTGGCAGGCAGCACACACTTCCCTGACCACGCACCATGGCCTTCGTCTGGCTCCTCTCCTGCTTCACCCTCATCGGGGTCTCCGTAGGTGAGTGTTGGGGCCTGAGGCATTAGCCAGGCCTGGGAAGAGAGTGGGGAAGGCCTTGATATACCAGCAGCTCACATCAGGCCCCACTTGGAAAATGGGGGTTTTCCAAGGGGTGAGGCCTTGTGTTTAACCAAGGGCAATTTTGAACCACTCACCTGTCCCCATGACTTCAGAGCAGACAGTCACTGACTTTGCAGGAGGAGAGTGGACCTTGGGGACTTTCTCAGCCCTCACAACTATAGCAGGTATAGGGTAGTATGTCCCGGACTCAGAGGAAGGAGCCCAAAAATTGGCTCAGATTTGTGTCATAGTGTCGTTAGTGTTGTCCCAGGTGATCATCAGAATTACTTCTCTCAGAGAATTTATTAATAGCTGACAGTGAAGATGGTGTTTTCCAAACTCAGTAAAATGGAGAAAAACTAGTACCGTATTATGTACACAAAAGGACTGAGCTCAGGATTTAGCAAATATTAACATTCCCAGATCTCCAATCAGGTTGTATTTTTGTTTTATGTTTTTTTGACACCCTCACCAGTTTCAGGAGCCCCCTACCCTCCCTCCTCCCCTGGGAAGGGGCCTCTGCTGAGTCCCTGCCTGTCACTCTGTTCAGGCTTCACACACTTACCCCCTGGGGCTCACCCAGAATGGTGGGTTCCATGGGGGAGCCCCTCCCTGTACCCCCTCCTTGTGCCTGTCACAGCTGCTGTCCCCACTGGGGTGAGACCTCAGGCCCCTCCCTGCGGTTACCAGTCCCCTGCATTGCTATGAAGCGCCTGCAGGGGGCGCCGCTCACAGCTCCTGTGGTGGTTTTCTGTTCTTACCAGAACAGATGAGGAAGAAGACATGTTTGGAGTCACCTGCTTTAGTAGTGACCTGGCCCTGGCCCCAGGGCAAAGGGCTATCTATGGAGGAAGGCCTGAGAGACCTGTGTGCAGCCTGGCTGAACGAAGGGGCTGGCCCTGCTCCCCTTCTTTCCTGTGGCCAAGTTCTGGGAGCTGCTGGGAATCCTGTGTTGTGACCCAGTAAATGTGTCCTGCACAAGTCAAGGGCCCCATGTGTCCTCCCCTTTCTGAACAATCCTATTGCTTTTTTGTTTGTTTGTTTTATTCCTGTGTTTGCTGACGGTGGTGTCCTATCAAGGCAGAGGACTCAGGAATATAAATGGTAGAGGCGCACCCACCAGGAGATTGTTAGACAGAGTGGGGTTTCATGTGACCTTGTGGCTCACTATGTTAATTTCCGTACCTCCCAGACACATCTTTGATGAATTTGAGTAAGTGAGTGGCAGTGTTTGTTCCACATTTCTTGATGAAATTGAGCCTGGGACAGTCAGAGGGGACTGAGATTCCAGTAGGAATTCCTCCCCCTGTTTCTGCTCCTCTAATCAAGGGGACCCGGATGGAACCACCTGTCCCTCTGCATCCCTGGGGGGTAACAGGCCAGCAGGTAGGGTTGTGTCTTCCAGTCTAGTTTTAGGGTGCCAGGAAGGAGTAGGCAATGGTCTTGTGCTGGCTGAGGGTGTAACAAGGTTTCTGCAGACTGACTAGCATACACCTACCCCCCAAACCCTGTAACCCCAGGTTCTGGGACCCCTCCCAGTGACCCAGAGCTGGTCATTACACCCAGGATCATCAATGGGAGCAACGCCCTTCCTGGTGCCTGGCCTTGGCACGTGTCTCTGGCGGTGAGCATGGTGTGCCCTTGAGTGGGGTCATGATGGGTTACAGTCCTCACAATTCAGGACAGTACCCAAGTAGTTGTGACCGAAGTTCTGTCAGTATATACCTTCGCTTTCTCCTACAGACTTCCACTGGACGCTTCAAGTGTGGGGGCTCCCTGATCGACAGGTTCTGGGTGATCACCGCCGCCCACTGCAATGTCACGTGAGGCCCAGGAAAGCCTATGCAAGGGAGGGTGGTGGTCTCCCCCTCAATCCTTACGGCCTGCTCTTTCTAGGATTTCTGACCGAGTTGTGACTGGTTTTTTTGATGTAAATGTCCCTGACCATTTCGTTGAAGTTCTGAGTATTGCCCAGGTATTTCAGACCCACTGACGTACCCTGGAAGCAGATGGGGGTTTGTGGTCATGATCAGGGAACACACTCCGATGGGGGATTAGAGCCACAGATGGGCTTTTGTGGTGTCTCTTCATTTTCTTTCCATGCACTACTGCCCAGTACTCATGGTCTCACTGCCTCATCCATGTCCTTTCCTCAGGTTTTCATACACCCCAAGTTTGACTTGACCACAGTCTACAGTGACATCGCCCTGCTGAAGCTGGACACGCCTGCTCGTTTTCATCACTCAGTGTCCCCTGTTCTCCTGCCCAGTGTTGGTGCCCACTTCCCTTCTGGAACCTGGTGCAAAATTATGGGCTGGGGGTACCTGCACCCCAATGGTGAGTGACCATGGCCTTGCCTGTCAGGACACAGAGCAGCAGGAAGGACCCAAGGGCTCTTCTTTGTGAGCTTCCCTGAACTGGAGCAGTGTCCTGTGTCTGAACCTCGACAACCGCCTCTTACTGACAAGCTAGGAAACCCCTGGGCCCGAAGTCAGGATGTCTTTGACCTGTCAGGTTCTACAGTCACAGCCCATTCCCAGAGGGCCCTGCCCCACTCACTCTGCTGTCCGGACTCAGGTCAGGCCACCATGACTTAGGTGGTCAGATGAGTCCAGCCCTGGCTGGTGTTCCGCATGGTGCTTTCTGGTGACTGTGCTGCTAGAGCCCTGACTGCCGGTCCCCAGCCTCGTCCCCTGGGCTAGTCCCCTTCTTGGCCAGGATAGAGCAGGCAGGAAGGGGCAACAGAGAAGACCGCTCCTGTCACCACTGGAGTGATTGTCCACTCAGGAGGAGGCCAGTCCCCTTCCTTGGGGGAAGCACTTCCCTCATGCCCACCCTGGTCCAGGTAGGCTGAGGCCACCCCAGGTTGTGCAGGAAGGGCTGTTTCTTTTCTGTGCTTGGAACAAAGTCAGCCTGACCCAGGCTGGGACCCGAAGGCCCTTGGAGGTTCTAAGGACTCAGAGTGCTGGGCTGGTCATGACTCAGAGAGGGCGACAGGGCCTCTGGCATGAGCTCTCTGGCCCACCAGCAGGGTGGGCTAGGGATGAGGGCCCTGGCCCACACTGGTCCTCTGTTAACAGGCACAGGCCGCCCTGTAGTGCTGCAGCAGGCCACTGTGTACCTCCATCCCATTGCCACCTGTAGGAAGTTTTGGCCTGCCTTCAAAACCGACTCCATGATCTGTGCTGGGTACAAAGGTGTCAGCTTCAGCCGTGTAAGTACTGCTCCGACCCCCCCCTCAGCCCCCAGGCTGGTGTAATCCTCCTGGCTCCAGACCCAGCCACCCTGGTCCCGGGGTGTTTGTCCTGAGAGCAGGCACCACCATGACCCTTGCAGTACACATAATGTGTCTGCTGGGCAAGGGGAAGCCCCCAGAAGGGTTTGCTGGCAGGGAGACCCCCTTTTTATAGACCCCAGGAGCCACTCTCCACTCCCCTTCCCACAAGCACCTTTGTGCAGAGTGGGGCCTCCTCTGAAGTAGAATTTCTCTGTCTGGGATTCAGGCCTACCCCGGATTTCTTGCCAACTCATTACAGTTCCATTGGGGGCGCCCAGGGCTCTGAGCCCTGTCAGTGTGCAGACAGGTCCTTTTCTTCCCACAGGGCGACTCTGGTGGCTCCCTGGTCTGCCGCAAGAGGGGAACCTGGATCCTGGTGGGCATCTTGTCCTTTTTCGCTAAAAACCACCCCACCAGGATGCCCTTTGTGGTCACTCGTGTCCCTACATTCATACCCTGGATTGAGGAAATCATGGCTCACAACTGAGCTCTGAACTCCCATCCAGCGTCCTTTATCCCCAATAAAGCCCCTGTACAGAGCTCTGACTGCTTGTGTCTGTGCCTGGGGCGGTGGCTGCAATGCCCCTGTCCCCCACCAGGGGGCGGCGTGCCCCTCCCTTTCCAGCTCAGAGCCCCAGAGCCCCTGTTTGTCAGCTGAGGCCTTTGGGTCTGGTCCTCCCTGCTCAGGGGAAAATGGGGTGAGTCCAGGACACCTGCTGCTGCCTCATTTCTCAGCCGTGTTACTACCTACTTGGGAATTGGGTTAACTGAAGGGGATTTGTGGAAAGGAGGAGTTTTCAAGGCTAGAACATTGAGTCCTACTCACAACAGGGTGGGCCCTGGGACCGAGAGGGTCACCAGGATGGCTTGGTCTCCCCACATGCATCAGGCATCAATCTCTGTTGACCCCCCGATACCCCCATTCCACACCATTCCCGCAGTTCCCGCCTTTCTCTGCTTCCACCCGTGTCCTGCACACATATGAGTTGAGTAATGAGGACTCATTCCTACCATGGCATAAGCCTGGCACCACTGTCCTTTCAGGTCCCCCAGGTCCACTGTTTTCATTGCCTCAGGTGTCTGCTGGCAGAGACCTGAGGAGGTTCCTGCTCAGTCCACACTGGGCTGCGGGGTCGGGCTCCTGTGCATGGCGCAGGGCTGGTCTCTGTGGGCATCACACTCTGATGACCGGGTCTGGACCCTCCTTCTGGCTGGTTATGATTTTTAAGATAATTAACTTGTTTCTTTCATTCTTCAAGGGATGTAATTTTTTTATTTTGTATTTTCAATGATTATGAATATATACCCCAAAATAATTGATGTGTTACATGCACTATAATCACAATCCATTATCATTGCTTGTGCTGGGTACACAATGTGCTTCATGGAGCTTAAATTTCCTTTGTGACGTTTTCTTTTCTGTATGATGCTCCCATTCAGTCTCTGTAGATGCTCAGAAGCTTTCTCTGATGATGTGTGCATGTTCCTTTCCTTTTGCTGTTTACACTTTTGGTGTCATACAGAACTTGCCTGTTGGGCAAGGATGGAAGGCTTCATTTTAATTTTAGTAATGACACCAGGACAGTTGGCAGCAAACTATAAATATTTTGTGAGAAATGAACAAAAAAGATACAAGTATTCAAAATGTTCTAGTAACATTTGAAAAAGTTACTCACTCATCAATCAAAGAAAATGCCAATTAAACTACTCAATAACAACCACAGCACATCAAATGAAGATATCTATCGTGTGCTCTGAGTCTCAGCATTTCTGCTACATTAAAAACCTAAGTCCCCATTCCTTGCCCAGCAGGGAAGTGTGGGAGGTGTCCGTGGATGCAGGGAACAGACGGAACTGCATGGGAAGCTGGGCACTGAGCTGACCTGAGCGCTCTGAGCCCTCAGGACAACCCAGATCATCAGTCAGGACAACCCAGATCATCAGTCAGGACAACCCAGATCATCAGTCAGGACACAGCCAGACGGATCTCCCAGCAGCCACAATGTCTGGACTCCATGGAGCTGAGGGACCCTCACTCTGTGTGAATGACCCCTCCTGTCTCGTCCTCTGCGCCCCTTAGCTCTGGATTTTAGTAGTTCTGTCTGTTCTGTCTGTCTGTCACTCTCTGGTGAATTTTTTCATCCTGGGTCTTGGCCTACACCTGCTTCTACTACCCATACACCTCACGGGTGAGGGGAGTTGGGGCCTGAGGGTATATGCACAAAAACGAAATAGAGAAAATAAAATACCTCAAACCAAGCTCGAAAGTAGGCAGCACAGCTATATAATCTCTGAATATAAGGAAGTAAAATGAAATAAATCATTAAGATGTCTTGTCCAGTTATTTTGGCCACAGCAATTCAGTGTAAAGTCACCTGCAGACAAGCTGGAGGCATCAGGACACATGAGAGCCTTTGGCCCCACCTGGGGCATGGTCAGGGTCACCTTCCGCCTTCTGGGCTCTCCTCCTTGTCCTGACATCAGCCCAGAGCTTTTTGGTCTTCGTGGGCCATTTATAGACTGGAGTCAAAACTTCACATGAAAAAAAAATGAAAAGTAAATAGGTGAGAAGCCAATTATATTGTGAATTGTGAAGAAAAAGGAAATTGGGTTTAGCATAGGAATAGCTGGGAAATCTTCCTTTTGTTAGGGGAAAGGGCATCCTAAAGGAACTCTGCAGAGTCTTGTGGACCCCACCCCCTACTCCAGCTTTCTGGACTCCACCCAACCCTACTCCAGTGATTGGAAACTACAACTCCCAGCAGTACCAGGGAGAGAACTGTGAGGAACCAAGGGTGGAGCTAAGCAGCATTCTGGGACTTTGGGCGATAAATAGGGCGCTCACTGGCTCAGAAAATGGTTGGCTCTTGGGAAATGGCTCTCTGAACCTCATGACTCAGGGCTTTCAGTTAGTTTGTTACCAGAGCTCCAAGTCAGCAGAGCTGGTGAGATATTCCAGTTACTTTGCATCCCTCTCTCTTTCCCTGGGTTGTTCCTTTTCCTTTCCCCTTTTGTAAATAAACCCATTATTGACCCTGTTGTGTGCGCCTGCAGTACAACTGCATTTTAAGGGCACGGGTGAGGCCCCACAGACGGGCGGCCCAGTTCACACTGGGGTGCCCTGTAACACTTTCAGGCCATAAAGTTGGCACCCCTGTCCTTTCAAGCATGCAGTGTTTTTGTGTGCTTTGTCTCTGGTTGTAGCCTGATGAGGCTCCTGCTCAGTCCACAGCAGACTGCAGGGGCTGGCTCCTGCCTGGGGGTGCAGGGCTGGTCTCTGTGAGCACCACAGACTTGAAGCCTGAGGCCCGGGCCATCATTCTTGCTGGGCCTGTAGATGCGAGTGACTCACTTAATTACTAGTTCTTTTTTATTACCAGCCAGCATTTCAGATATGTGTCCCCACCTGTCTCAGTGACCCTGGACAGTGTGTAGAACATGCCGGGGAGTCTCACTTCTGCTCATACACTTTCCCTTCATGTTTAAGATAATTGTTTCCTTTTACCCTTCAAGGATATAGAATTTTTTCTAATTTTATATTTTAGAATCATTATCAATTCATGTATCAAAACACTTGTTTCAATATATGTGATTACTATGGATATTCTCATGAAGGTGAGTTGCCTGTGACCAAGGAGCCCATCCATGCCGCTGGGACATAGGTGTGGCCACATGGGTTCCGAGCTCCCCCTCTATCTGGCCCCACAGGACCCCCAGACCCGAACCCGCAGGTTCTCAAGCCCCCCGCCGTCTGGGTGAGAGGAGGCGTGTCCTCCACGGGCTGGGCAGGGCCTCGCTCGGGTGTGCCGCTGTGCGCCTGCGCGGGGCGGAGCAAGTGCCTTACTGACAGGTCATTTTCACGGCCAAGGTCCAGTGGCTCACGCTGATATTGGCACGTTTACTCAGGGTGAAGGGCTGGAGTCAGAATTCCTTGCTGCTTGGGAATGAGGAGGCCAGTCCTCTGCCTTGTGTAGGGACCCCTTCACAAGGGGCACTAAAGGTAGATGTGTCCTTTTACTGTGACCACCAGGAGGCAATGCCTACTTCAACAGAGATCTTTGGCCTTTCACGGGTAGATTGGACGAGGAGAGGAGGCTGGCCACTGGGTACCAGCTCATGGCTGCCCTCTCATCAGCCCCTCTGTGACATCAGAGGTCTCCACATCCGCTCTGTGAGCCCTCCAGCACTGTGCAACCACCATGGGTCAGGTAGATTCCAGGTGGGCTCTATCATCTTTGAAGAACATTGGTGCTGTTGGCATCATAGTCACAGGTTTTAATAGTGAGCAGTGGAAACCACTTGTACCCCTCTCACCCGTAGTGACACCCTTTCTCCTTCCTTCCTCAGCTCTGGTATAATATCCCCTA